GAACTCTCCCCAAATAGTCTTGCTCTGATCCATTGTAATCCTCAGATCTCAGCCTCCTGAATAGCTAGGAATTGAGGCATGAGCCAATGGCTCCTTACTGCAACTTGAACTTGCTGGAGGCTAAAGCCTCCTTGTGGCTTTCCATAGGGAGGGATGGGTCGGGGGAGCCCTGGAATCCCAAGAAGACTTCATCGCATGTTCATAAGAAAAGCTTTCTGACTGTGAAGTGGTGGCTCACGCCCGTAATCCTAGCTACTCAGGAGGCTGAGATCTGAGGATTGCGGTTCAAAGCCAGCCCGAGCAGGAAAATATGTGAGATTCTTATCTCCAGTTAACCACCAGAAAACTGGAAGTGGCGTTGTGGCTTAAGTGGTAGAGCATTAGCCTTGAGCAAAAGCGTGCAGGGAAAGTGCCCAGGCCCTGAGTTCAAGCCCCACAATCAACAACAACAGCAAAGCTTTCTGTCCCTAAATGTAAACTCAACTGCCAATGGCTTCAAAATCTTCAAACCACTTTGAGTCTAAAGGTAACTCTTCTAGCTGAGATTCAGCTCATAGGGTTGGACTGATTGTTCCACTTGGCACTGGGAATAGTAGTAGAGAGATGGGCAAGGCATAGTCTCAGCTAGGGAGTTGGGAAAGACTAGAATTTTTATTTATTTTATTTTTTTGTCAGTGTGGGGCTTGAACTCTGGCCTGGGTGCTGTCCCTGAGCTCTTCAGTTCAAGGCAAGAGCTTTACCACTTTGAGCCACAGCACCACTTCTGGTTTCTGGTAGTTAATTGGAGGTGAGTCTCACAGACTTTCCTGCCCAGGCTGGCTTTGAATCACAATCCTTAGATCTCAGCCTCCTGAGTAGCTAGGATGACAGGCTCAGCCACTGGAGCCCAGCCACCTTGGATTTAGGAAAGCCACACCCAAGGTGTCTCTTAGCAACATGTTCTCTAAGTGGGAGGGAGCTGGAGACTCCTAGCCAAAGGGCCAGAGTTCAGTTCCCGGACACGCTGTCTTGAATGTGAAGTAGGGTGAACTGCCTTGTCTGTTGAGCCTCTTTCTTCTTACCAGTAAAATGAGTGGAGTGCTGGCCCTCCCTGGTGGGAAATTCAGTGATGTGCAACATGGCACCCCGAAGAAAGTGAGCATTCAACACAAGCTGGCCTTGATTCCTTTTATTCGTTTTTTCAGTGCTGGGCTCAAGCCCAGGGCTTTACATGTGCCGAGCCACAGCCTAGAGAGCATTTTAGTTCGAGACAGGGCCTCTCTAGGTAGCCAGGCTGGCCTCTAACGCATGATCCTCCTGCCTGTGTCTCCTGAGTGTTGTGATTACAGGCATGTACTACCATGCCCAGTCTTCGTGGTTGTGTTGCCAGTGCATCGTAGAGCCACCTAGCCAGTGTCTTCAAAGTTGTAACAAGCTGAGATGATGTTTGATTTTATTTGCTGGCTGAGCACAGTGAGCCATCAGCCGGGCCGTGGACACTTCTGGGAGAACTAGAAATGAGGGAAGGAAGCCACACTCACTCTGCGGGCCAAGGGAGCCTAAGGCACTTGTGTGCCACCTAGTGGTGTAAGTGGAAATTTCTTCTACCTGGCTCCCACGGTTTTGTCCCTGCTTGAAGAGTCTGCTGAAATCAAGATGAACTGATCTGCTCCTAAGGTTGACGATGTAGTCATTCATAATGAGGTGGATTCTGCCTAACTCACATAAGTCTTTACATGCGTCCTGAGGTTGAAAAACCCCTGAGGTTTGAGGGTTTCATGATCTGGGGATTGAGTTCATTTCTACTTAATCTCAACTATCCCTAATGCACCATTTACTTATGTGATGCATGAGTCGAGGTGTGGTAGTGTACACCTGTAAGACCACAACTCAGGAGACAGAGGCTGGAGGATCATGAATTTGAGGCCACACAGGGAGAGCCTATCTCAATATATAAACGAAACCAAGACGAAACCAAAAGGTGATATGAGAAGTTGGTGGAGAGCTGAGGGACATAAGAGGATGCAGAACAAGTTGCCTTTCAGGTTAGAACCCAGGTCCCTGTGTCCCTTCCCAATGGGAATCCATCCCGCAGGTGGTCAGTCCATCCTGGTTTGTCTGGGGACCTTCTCAGTTTGAGCAGTTTGAGCCTTGAAAGTCTCACATGCTGGGAGACAATAGTGCAGTGCAAATCTGAGTTTGATCGTCCTGCCTTTCAAAAGGCACACACCATGTCAGTCAGTATCCATTTACTCAGTATCCAAATGAAACTTTCATTAAAATAGGTTTTGCAGCCCAGGCGCCAGTGGCTCACGTCTGTAATCCTAGCTACTCAGGAGATCGGAGGATAGTAGCTTGAAGCCAAGCCTTGGCAATAAAGTCTGAGATTCTTTATCTCCAACAAACCACAAAAAGCCAGAAGTGGCTCGAGTAGTGGACCTTAAGCCTTAAATACAAAGGCTCAGGCATAGTGCCCAGGCCCTGATTTCAATCAAGCCCCTGAACCGGCACAAAAAGAAAACAGCCAGGCCCCCGTGTCTCACACCTGTAATCCTAGCTACTCAAGAGGCTGTGGAGTGTGGTTCAAAGCCAGCCCAGGCAGAAAAGTCCCTGTGGGACTCATCTCCCATTAACTACTCAAAACAGAAGTTGGATTGAGAATGTGGCTTAGTGGTAGAGTGCTTGCCTAGCAATGCATGAAACCCTGGGTTCAATTCCTCAGCACCACATACACAGAAAAAGCCAGAAGTGGCGCTGTGGCTCAAGTGGTGTAGTACTAGCCTTGAGCAAAAGAAGCTCAGGTACAGTGCCCAGCCCTGAGTTCAAGCCCCATGGCTGACCAAAAAAACCCAACATCAACAAATGAGAGGTTTTGCAAATCATTCTACAATAGCTCTGTATTGAGTTAGCAAATATTTAAGAATAAGAATTTACTTCTGTTTTAGAAGCTGAAGATACAGTAGTAAACAAACAGGCACAATGAACACCCTGTGTTCCTGGAGTGGACATACAATGACCATATCTATATGTCTATTTACATATAGCATTCTGCTGGCCATCATTTAGGTTGCCTCAGGTCATTTCCCACTATTCCCTGTGTTGACCTGGACTTCTGGGGGGCAGGGGAAGGGTGCACGTATATCTCCTGCTTATAGGAAGAAGGCTATAGTAGCACCTTCCAAGAATTTCCTGTGAAAATGAATGTTGTCGATCTGCCCTGTCTCGTATGTACATGTGACTATTCAGTAGAATTATGACTAGCGAGGCTGAATAATTGAACTGTTTTGTGTGTATGTGTTGGTCCTGGGGCTTGAACTCAGGGCCTGAGTGCTGTACCTGAACTGCTTTTGCTCTATCATCACTTGAGCCATAGCTCCACTTTCATTGTTTTTTGGTGTGGTGTGTTTTTTTTTTTAATTTTTGGTACTTTTTTTTGGTTGGTTGTGGGGCTTGAACTCTGGACCTGGGCGCTGTCACTCAGCTCTTCAGCTCAAGGTGAGTGCTCTACTGCTTGAGCCACAGCACCATTTCTGATTTTCTTTTTTTTTTTTTTTTTTGTCGGTCATGGGGCTTGAACTCTGGTCCTGGGCGCTGTCCCTCAGCTCTTCAGCTCAAGGAGAGTGCTCTACCACTTGAGCTACAGCGCCACTTCCCGCTTTCTGGTGGTTTATTGGAGAAAGGAGTCTCACGATCTCTCCTGCCCGGGCTGGCTTTGAACTGCGATCCTCAGATCTCAGCCTCCTGAGTAGCTAGGATTACAGGCGTGAGCCACCAGCACCCGGCTACCATTTCTGATTTTCTAGTGGTTTTATTGGCAATAACAGTCTCACAGACTTTCCTGCCCAGGCTGGCTTTGAACCTCGATCCTCAGATCTCAGCCTCCTGAGTAAGGATGGGCGTGAGCCACCAGGGCCTGGCTTAATTCTTGGTACTTTTTATTTATTTATTTTCTATTTTTGGGTCCGGTCGTGGGGCCTGAACTCTGGGCCTGGGTGCTGTCCCTCAGCTTTCAGCTCAAGGCTAGCACTCTACCACTTGAGCCACAGCGCCACTTCTGGCTTTTTTTCTTTTTGCTTATGTGGTGCTGGGGAATCGAACCCAGGGCCTCATGCATGCAAGGCAAGCGCTCTACCACTGAGCCACCTTCCCAGCCCCAATTCTTAGTACTTTTGTGGAGATAGGAGTCTCATAGATTTTCCTGCTTGGGCTGTCTTCAAAACACAAACCTCAGATCTCAGCCTCCTGAGTAGCTAGGATCACGCGCTTGAGCCACCAGTGCTCGTTTAATTGAACTTTTAATTTGCCAGCTTAAATCTATTTCAGCTTAGGCGTAAGGAGTGTAGCTCAGTGGTAGAGCACTTGTTAATGTGTACAAGGACTTGGGTCTGCCAAAAAAATTAATAAATGGGACTTACACAGCTACAAGTATTGGACATCACAGCTCTACAGAATAAAATCTTGGAAACAGAAAAGGTAGGTCAGGGCGGCGCCCACATAGTTCAGAAGGACAGAACGAGTCTTCAAGACTCCAGCTCCAAAATAGCAGAAAAACACTGGGCTAGTGGCAGGCTCACCCAGCTGTGTGAGGAGGTGAGCAGATGGGAAAGCCTTGAGTTCACACCCCAGAACCAAAAATAGGAAAAGTAAAAACCAGAACAAAAGACTGCAGAACACTTAATACCCAATAAGAAAGTCCTATTAGTCTGTTCCTGGGTAACAAATTGCCCCCAAACTTAACGGTGTAAACGGTACACGTCCATTTAATCGCGCTTTTTGTGGGTGAGGAGTGTGGGGTGTGCACCCTGCACGGTGCACGTACGCGTGCACCAGGTACTGGGTTCTTTTTTTAGGTCTTACCAGCTGGGGTCACGCAACATCCTGCGGCTGGGCCGGGAAAGCCCCACCCCCGGCTCGGCCCCGCCCACACGGCCCCGCCCATCCTATCACATAGCCCCGCGCCCGCCCCAGCCCTCGCGCGCATGCGTAGGCCCCGCCCCCTGGCCCGCCCCCTCGGCTCCTTCTCCGCGTCGCGGGGCGCTCAGCGGCGGCAAGATGGCGGCGCAACAGCAGTGTCGGGAGGGCGTTACGCCGTTGGCGCGGCCGGCGGCGGAGGCGGACCCCCTGGGCCGCTTCACGTGTCCCGTGTGCCTGGAGGTGTACGACAAGCCGGTGCAGGTGCCCTGCGGACACGTGTGAGCGGCGAGCGCGGCCGGGCGGGGAGCGGGGCGGTGCGAGGGCGGCGGCGGCGGGGTCCCCGGCGGCCCAGCGGGGGTCTCGCGGCCCCCCGGCGGCCCCGGGGCGGCCCGCCGGGGCTGCACCGCGCCCTGGAGTTGCGGGAACGGCGGGCCGGGGGCCCCCAGGGGCAGGGAGGCCGTCCCGAGCGCGCGGCGGCGGCGGGGGCCGCGGCTCTGCCGGCCGTTCCAACGGGAAACGGGCGGCGGGCGGCGGGGCCGCCCCGGGGCGGAGACCCTCGGGGCTGGGGCTCCCGGGGCCTGCCGCCCGCGGGCGGGCGGGCGGGCGGGCGGGCGCGGGGCGGAGACCCTCGGGGCTGGGGCTCCCGGGGCCTGCCGCCCGCGGGCGGGCGGGCGGGCGGGCGGGCGGGCGGGCGCGGGGCGGAGACCCTCGGGGCTGGGGCTCCGGGGGCCTGCCGCCCGCGGGCGGGCGGGCGGGCGGGCGGGCGGGCGCGGGGCGGAGGCGCGGCCGGGCTCCCCGCCCGCCGCCCACCGGGCGCTGTCCAGCGGGAGGCGCCCTCTTGCCAGTTCCGCTGCCCGCGGCCCCTCCAGCCTCCGTGCGCTTCCGCCACCACCGCTTCCCCTCGCCCGTTCCTCGCGGGGCGCGCCCCTTCGCGTCCTGCCCCGACCCCCCCACTGCGCGGCCGCTGGGGTCCGAGGCCCGTGGCTCTGCCCCGGGGCAGATGCAGTGCGCCCCGGGGCGGGTGGGCATTCACCTTTAGGAAACTCTTGACCCAATCAAAAAGCACTCTTCCAGATTTCTTTGAGCCGGCTGAACCTGCCCCGGGGCGGGAGGCAAAGGGCAGGATGAGATTCCAGCCTGCCCGCTCCCAGCACCGGTTACCGGCCTCACCTCCGGCAGCCCTGTGCTGCTTGAAGACAATGACCACACCGAAGGCCCTCCCTGAGATCTACCCCCGAGCTTTCTGCTCTCCCCGCTCCCCCCACTGGAGTCGGGAGTTGGGTGGCCCTGCGTCTGTGGCAGCGTGTAGCAGCCCCAAACGCCTCCATCCTCCTCCGTCTGGAGTAGGGAAGGTGGCGAGGTGCCCAAGAAAAGGGAATTTCGAAATAGCCCCGTGGCAGAAAGGGTAGGGCATCTAGAAGGCTGAACTGGAAAGGGTGTTAATAGGAAGTAGAAACTGAAAGCTGGCCCAAGACACACAGTCTAGAAACAGGCTTGTGTGGGTATCGTTTGGTCATAAAGGGGCTTGTGACCATTTGGTGAGCTGTGCCATGCTATGCGTAGGGTACACTGGGCTGCCCTCAGTAGCTGGGGTTGGCTTTCCAGCTCCCTCTTGGTTATCCTTGTCTGCCTTTCCTACCTGCCCATTGCTTATGCTTTTGTCTTTTCTCCAAGTACTCACACATCACAGCCCCACAGACCTTGCTCTCTGCCCTCCACACACAGCTTGGCGTGTGGTGTCAGCTGTCTGGCACTCTGCATCCACGTCCACATCTGCCTTCACTGTCAGGTCTCTGTGACGTGCTGCGGTCCAGGTCCCCCCCCCCCCCCCCCAGCTCTGCCTTGATTTACTTCCTTCCTGTGTGTAGTCAATGAAATGAACGTGAGCACCTTCCTCCACTTAGAACTTAGCAGCGGCTTGGGTCTCGCCTCCACCCTGTCCGGAGGGGTGAATGAACAGATCCTTTTACACCCCACCCACCCACCCAGCCTGGCCTGGAGTTTTGCCTGGCAGCATGGATGTATAGCTTAATGATAGAGGAAGGTTGTTGAGAGGAAAGAAAATGAGAAAGTAAAACATCACGTTGCAGATTACCTGTTTTTTCCCTTTGCTGGTAGCAAGAATTGAGCTTGAAGCCTCCCACTCCCTCATCTTAGCCCTCCTGGCAGATTTGCTAAAGCTGCTTTAAAAGTCTATTAGCTTGGGCAGCTTGCCCGGTGCAGCTTCATGCTTTGCTGTCCATTCCTTCTAACCGATCTCAGTGTCACCACCTGCCTGGCTTCAGGGCGGAAGGTCTGTCATCTTTGACTTCTTTAACAAATTCAGTAAGCCACAGGTCACGCTGCCTCCCTGCCTGAATCATTTCCTGGCTCCTTCTTGGTGTTGCGGTCAGGCCTTCACAGCCCTGCGTTAGTCATCCTGCTGGGTTTGCACTTGGTCTCCTCTCATCTTTCCTCGCCTTAAAACACACTAAAAGCTCTCTTCACAAAGCACCAGTTATTTTTCTGAAGCGTGGATAGTTGGCTTTTGAGGAAAAATCATTTCCTCAAGTGCCTGTGTGTCTTAAGCCTTCGGGCCTGGGATTGTTTTCTTGTTCCACCAACTGCAGCCTCTGAAGGCTGGTCATGGGGGCCGCCTCTGGAGGGCTGCCAGCCCCAGCCTGGGTTACAACTAGCTGCCGTTAGCTGCCACTGCCCTTGTGTTCCCATGCTGCTTTGCTCTCACCTCTCTGATACCATTTCCCATCGACTGTGTGTTCCATGTGTGCTCACCGCACGTCCCTGCAGCAGCCCTGGTGGTAGGAACTGCGCCTTGTTCCACAGGAGAGAACCCTTAGTCTTCTCTTCTGGTGTAGGTGTTGAGGTTTTAAACCTCGGCCACACCTCTGGCCAGGTAGCATGGCACTTGGTTTGTGTTGGTAGACCCCACTGCAGCATGTCTGTCCTAGAAGGACTTGGTGTTGAGTTGGGCACAGGGAACAAGTTGGTTTTAGTCCATTTTTCATTGGTGTCTGTTAAGAGTTGAGCCACATTTGTCTTTTTGTCTCCACAATGCATGACAGAGGTTCTCTGTATGTCTTGTTCTAGCTTTTGCTCTGCATGCCTGCAGGAATGTCTGAAGCCGAAGAAACCTCTCTGTGGTGTGTGTCGCAGCGCTCTGGCACCTGGCGTCCGAGCTGTGGAGCTCGAGCGGCAGATCGAGAGCACAGAGACTTCTTGCCATGGCTGCCGTAAGAATGTATGTGGGAGAACATGGAAGAGTCGATGTCTTTCCGTGCTGAGATGGGGTACCCTGAGCTCTGCCCATGTCCCTTCTCCAGACTGTGCCTAGGTGACAGCGCGCCCTCCTGACGGTGATGGCTGTGCTGTTTGAGTTGTAACCTTACTGCATTTTCTTTTTCCATCAGTTGGTTTAGTTTTGAAAGCCATAGAAATCAATTGTCCCAGTTTTTGGCCCATAAGACTCATTTTCCAAAACATGCACAATTTTAATTAGACTGTGACATTTCATGATATTTAAAAAAACATATAGTGAAATTAGTCAAAAAAGTTAACTACTATAGCGAATTTGAAGGAGAGACCCTTTTTCTGTAGCACTAGAGATAAACTAATGGTTCAGCTACTCAGCTGTTTACCAAAGGAAGTGGGATGCAAAGGTCAGTGTGCAGTCACGTGATTTCAGTGCAAAATCTGACACTAAGACTGTGTCCAAGCTCACTTTAACTGCTGTGGAGAGAGAGAGAGCTCTGATTGTCTTCTTCTCCAGTGATGACGTTGGTTTTAAAGTCATGACTGTTTGGAGGGGAGAAGGGGTGTGGTTGTGGTTCTGAACTCAGCACATAGGTGCTGTCCCAGAGCTCTTTTTGCTCAAGGTTAGCTAGCACTGTACCACTTTTGAGCCACAGCTCTACTTCCAGTTTTTGAGTAACTAATTGGAGATAAAGAGTCCCAAGGCCTTTCCTTCCTGGGCTGGCTTTGAACCATGATCCTCAGATCTTAGCCTCCTGAGTAGCTAGAATTACAGATGTGAGCCACCATGAGCCTGGCTCATGACGATTTATTTTTTCCAGTCCTGAGGCTTGGACTCAGGGCCTGAGCGCTGTCCCTGAGCTCCTTTTGCTCAAGGCGAGCCCTGTATCACGTCAGTCACAGCATCACTTCCGGCTTTTTCTGATTATATGGTGCTGAGGAATCGAACCCAGGGTTTCATGCCTGCCAGGCAAGCACTCTACCACTAAGCCACATTCCTAGCCTTTTGTTGTTGTTGTTGTTGGTTATGGGGCTGGAACTCTGGGCGTGGGCACTGTCCCACCACTTCCGGCTGGTTTTCTGGCGGTTAATTGTAGATAAGAGTCATGGACTTTCCTGACCAGGTTGGCATTGAACCTCAATTCTCAGATCTCAGCCTCCTGAGTAGCTAGGATTACAGGTGTGAGTTACCAGCGCCCGGCCATATTCCTAGCCTTATGACATTTTTTTTTTTTTTTTGGTTGTGGCACTTGAACTCTGGGCTTGGGCACTGTCCCTCAGCTCTTCAGCTCAAGGCTAGCACTCTACCACTTGAGCCATAACACCACTTCCAGCTTTTTGTGTTTATGTGGTGCTGGGTTCAATACCCAGGGCCTCATGCATGAGAGGCAAGTGCTCTACCACTGAGCCACCTTCCCAGCCCCATTATGACAATTTTTTTTTTTTTTTGGGTCGGTCTTGGGACCTGAACTCTGGGCCTGCACGGTGACCCTCAGCTCTTCAGCTCAAGGTTAGCACTCTACCACTTGAGTCACAGTGGCACTTCCGGCTTTTTTTTTCCTCTGCTTATGTGGTGCTGAGGAATCGAACCCAGGGCCTCAAGCATGCAAGTGCTCTACAACTGAGCCACCTTCCCAGCCCCCATTATGAGAATTTTTTTATTGACAAATGTAGATATAAAGATTTACAAACACCGAGTAGATTGGTTTTGTTTTTTGAAACTGTGAACTATTTATAATTATTTGTTGGACAGCTTATGTGGCAGTTTTTTTCTTGGGCTGGGGATGTAGCTCAAGGCCTTCACATAACTAAGATCTCTACCATGAGCCAGCAACACAGTGAGTGGCCTAACTGTGGGTGTAGCTTAGCATTCCTTTCTGTGGGGTGACTGTGTGGCTTATGGGCCACTATTCCAAGCTGTGTGTCTCTGGCTCCATCTCTCTAATTGGGACTCCTTGGTTGGCAGCTTGAAGTCAGCAAGTGTTTGAGCTGGTAAACCAGAATGGAGATTTTTTTTTTTATGGTTTCCTTTAATTTAGAAACTCAAGATTGTAAAATAAAAATGTCCTAAGAACTTACCCTTCCTTCACGTGTCCTCACCCTTCCCCATATGCTTTTGACTTTCTCCATTTTATTTTGTTTTAATTATTTTTTTGTGCTGGTCCTGGGGCTTGAACTCAGGACCTGAGTGAGGTCCCTGAGCTTTTTTTTTTTTTTTTTTTTTGCTCAAGGCTAGCGCTCTACCACTTTACCCACAGCTCTACTTCCAGTTTTCTGGTGGTTAGCTGTACACAAAAGTCTCACGGACTTTCCTGCCCCAGCTGGCTTCAGACTTTGATCATTAAGTCTCAGTCTCCTAAGTAGCTAGGATTACAGGTATCTGCTTCAAAAATTTCTTCTCCATAGGCTTCTTCATTCCTTAAAGTTTTTCTTTAGTAACATGCAAGGTTGCCAGAAACCAGTCACTCACATCTGTAATCCTAGCTATTTGGGATGCTGGGTTCAGAGAATGGAGGTTTCATAGCCAGCCTGGGCAGAAAACTTTCTGAATTCCATCTACAAAATGCCAGCAAAAAGCAAGGCTGGAGGTATGGCTCCTTTGGTAGAGTGCCAGCCAAGTAAGCAAAGGTGTACAAAGGTGAACACCCCTTCCCCTCAAAAAAAAAAAAAAAAGGCCAGATGTGGTAGTATGAACCTATCACTGGATTGCCCAGTATAGAGGCTTGAGGGTGGCAAGGTGGCTTAGTGGTAGAGAGCATGAAGCTCTGGGTTAAGTTCCTCAGTACCACATAAGCAATAATAAAATTATTAAAAGAATTTTTTTTTAAAGTTTGCGGCATAATAGCAAGAACTCATCTCAGAGGTGAAAAGAACAAAACATCTGGAGGTGAAGCTGAGTGGTAGAGCCGCTCAGGTGAGCACATGGCCCTGAGTTCCTTCCTCAGTACTCCCAGTACTGCACACGTGCACACATACACAGGGTAGCGGCAGAGCACATGGTTTGCATGTATGAGGCCCCAAACCCAGAAACATTCCTGGAGTTTTCTGTTTTATTTTCTTATTTTTCATCTTACTATTACACAGCTTCAATTTTTTTTTTAAGATTATTGATCACAATCTGATTGATACTTTCAAGGTTACTAGCCTTTATCTCTTATGCTTCAGTGCGCACTTTTCTGTGCTGTAAGAAGCGTGGAATATGGCTCTTGGCTGCTAGAAGAGGATCGATTTTAGTGCAGGGTAGAAAATATTTAACACATACCTGGGTTTGGAGCCCAACTGTAAGCAGAAAGCATGTTTGTAAGCAAAGCAAACTTGCCGTAGAATTACTTCAGAATGGAAATTGTGATTTGGTGAAACCTGAGCCTGGACAGGAGTAGAAAACCTACACTTGACAGGGCTTCTGTCCACTAGCATAGGAGGGTGCTGGGATTGTACACTGGGGGGTGTAGGTCTAGTTTTTATCAACCTCCTTTGGGACTATGCCTGGTATAAGGTCCTCACTAACTGTGGGCTCTGATTCTCATCAAGTTCTTCCTGTCTAAAATCCGGGCCCATGTGGCTACCTGTTCCAAATACCAGAATTACATCATGGAAGGTGTGAAGGCCACCACTAAGGATGCATCCCTTCAGCCCAGGTGAGTGACTGAGTCTCCTTCAACAGGTGATGTTCGGCAAGTGTGTGGATTTGGGAAATGTAGGGAAGTATAATCAAGAATGCAAGTATTGGGGGCAGCGGGCACTCATGTTCAGTTCAGACATGAGGTTGCGTTTTTCATCTTTCAGGAGCATCCCAAACCGATACACCTTTCCCTGTCCTTACTGCCCCGAGAAGAACTTTGACCAGGAAGGGCTGGTGGAGCACTGCAGGCTGTCCCATAGCACGGACACCAAACCTGTGGTAAGGGAACCTTTTTTTTTTTTCTTTTTAATAGAAAGGGAAAAACCTCAAACTTACAAAAAAATTGGCATAATTAGCACAATGAACTCTGATGGTTCTTCAGCTAGAAAATAACATTTTACTTTGGGGCATTGGTGGCTCGCTCTTGTCATCCTAGCTACTCAGGAGGCTGAGATCTGAGGATCGTAGATCGAAGCCAGCCCAGGCAAGACATTCCATGAGACTTACCTCCAGTTAACCAGCAAAAAGCCAGAAGTGGAGCTGTGGTTCGAGTGATAGAGCACCAGCCTTGAGCAAAAAAGCTCAAGTACAGCTCTCAGGCCCTGAGTTCAAGCCCCAGGATTGACACACACCTTTTACCATATTTGCTTGGCCATACTTTATATATGCATATTTTCTGAACTATTTGGAATTAAGCTAAGTACCATGACCCTTTGCCCACTAAATACTTTAGAGTACCCTAAAAACATTTTTTTGCGGGTTCTGGAGCCTGGGCCTCTTTGTGCTCAAAAAGAAAAAGAATTTCTGGGAAGGCGGCTCAGTGGTAGAGCGCTTGCCTTGCATGCATGAGGCTCTGGGTTCGATTCCTCAGCACCACATCAGCAGAAAAAGCCAGAAGTGGCGCTGTGGCTCAAGTGGTAGAGCGTTAGCCTTGAGCTGAAGAGCTGAGGGACAGCGCCCAGGCCCAGAGTTCAACCCTTACGACCGACCAAAAAAAGAAAAAGAAAAAAATGAGTTGGAGGGAAGAAGGGAGAGATAGCAGATGGTGGAGAGCGTTCTGCCCTCCAGCTCTGGTTTTTGCCTATTTTCCCTTCTGTATCTGCTGAAATGTGATGCTAGTCTTGGGGTCCTTGTTTTCCATTATATCTAGGACTTTGTAAGCATTTTCCTTTTTTTTTGAAACAGCCTTTGCTATGTTTCCCAAGCTGGTCTCTAACTCTTGGACTCAATCTTTCTGCTTTAGATTTTCTTTCTTTTCTTACTGTTGGTCATGGGGCCTGAACTCTGGGCCTGGGCGCTGTCCCTCAGCTCTTCAGCTCAAGGCTAGCGCTCTACCACTTGAGCCACAGCACCACTTCCGGCTTTTTTCTTTTTTCTTACGTGGTGCTGAGGAATCGAACCCAGGGTCTCAGGCATGCAAGGCAAGCACTCTACCACTGAGCCACCTTCCCAGCCCCTGCTATTTTTCCTGGGTAAAATTTACTTGTTTTGTGTGTAGCTAGGTCCTTGTGTAAGAAGTAGGCTATCAGAAGCTGGAGGCTCATGCCAGCCAGCCTAGCCACTCTGGAAGCTGAAGTCTGAGGATCATGGTTCAAAGCTGGCCTAGACAGAAGAGTCAATGAGACTCTTATCTCTAGTTAACCACAGAACCTAGAAGTAGCACTGTGGCTCAAAGTGGTAGAGTGCTAGCCTTGAGCAAAAGAGCTCAGCAACAGTGCCCAGGCCCTGGGTTCAAGCCCTTTGACCAATCCAAAAAAGAAGATGGGAGATCATTGGAAGGGGTCTTGTTCCTCCTCCTGCAAGTGGGAGGGGTGACCTGGCAGGCCTGGGTGATGGGCCCCCCTGAGTTTAGGAAGGCAAAGATTCTGTGGACTTGAAAACTGGAATCAAGTGACTTGCCCTGGGTTTGGGGAGGCAGTTGATGAGTCAAGGAACACTGAGCATTTGTGTCCCGGGCCGGCGTCCACTGTTCTAGCACAGATAAGCAATCCGAACTTAGGCTCCAAGTGCTCCCTGAAGTCAGGAGTTGGGAGCAGAGCCTGGGGTTCAGGAAGTAGGAGGGGCCAGTGCCCAGCCATGACGCCAGTCCTGTCAGCTAGCTGCCTAGATCTCTGCCATGGCCTCAGAGAAGTCTGCACCAGACCTGGGGGGCGGGGCGGGGGGGGGGGGAGAAATGGGGGGTGCGCTGCCTGGCATGAGAGAAAGTGCCCTTGCTGCCTATGCTCAGGGCACAGAGCGCTGCACCACGCCGGCCACGGGGCTGCCGTGCAGGGGGTGCAGGGGAAGCAGGCTCGGGGCAGCCCGAAGAACGAGCAGCCTGCTTACCCATGTGCGCACTTGTGCATCGGACACATGGCAAGCAGGCTGCTTTCACTTCCCTGGCCTCGCTCATCTGTTCCTTGGTTTCGGGTGCCTTTAGCCCTTCTTTGTGCTAGGTTAGAAGACTGCGTTTTTGGCCTTCCGCAGGGCTGGCCTCTGACTACAGCAGGGCTTCAGCAAGGGCGGGGTCACGCCTTCTTACTCACACCCATTACCTAGAGCTGGAGCCTCACAATGCGGTTGTTTTTGTTTTTTTGCCAGCCCTGGGGTTTGATCTCTGGGCCTGGGCCCTTTTGCTCAAAGCTAAGCGCTCTATGACTCGAGCTACAGGGCCACTTGTGGCTTTCTCTGTGATGGATTCTAGAGAAGAGTTTCATGGACTTTTCCCGCCAGGCTGGCTAGGAACCACCATCCTTGGATCCTGGCCTCCTGAGAAGCTAGGATTATAGGCGTGAGCCACTGTCGTCCAGCTGTGCAGCGGTTTGGAATGCTCACCACATGAGTGACCAGACCCTGGACTGCGGGGTCAGGAAGTGTGTCCTGGGAGGCGGGGCCAGGCGCTGGCCCTGGACTGCGGTGTCAGGAAGTGTGTCCTGGGAGGCGGGGCCAGGCGCTGGCCCTGGACTGCGGTGTCAGGAAGTGTGTCCTGGGAGGCGGGGCAGGCGCTGGCCCTGGACTGCGGGGTCAGGAAGTGTGTCCTGGGAGGCGGGGCAGGCGCTGGCCCTGGACTGCGGGGTCAGGAAGTGTGTCCTGGGAGGCGGGGCAGGCGCTGGCCTTGGACTGCGGGGTCAGGAAGTGTGTCCTGGGAGGCGGGGCAGGCGCTGGCCCTGGAGGCCGAGGTCAGGGCATTGTCTCCGATGCCTCTTCTTCACGGCAGGTCTGCCCCATCTGTGCCTCCATGCCCTGGGGGGACCCCAGCTACCGCAGCGCCAACTTCATTCAGCACATCCAGCGCCGGCACCAGTTTTCTTACGACACGTTTGTGGTGAGTCTGGCCCTCCCCAGCGTGGTGACACGCCACTCCGGTTGTGGCTAGGGGAGGGGCTCGGCAGTGCTGTGGGCGACGTGCTGAGGCGTCGGGTGGGATGTGTAGTCATGTAGGCAGACACGGTGAGGTGTGCTCCTTGGTCTCCGTGTGTGTGTGTGTGTGTGTGTGTGTGTGTGTGTGTGTGTGTGTGTGTGTGCACGTGCGTGCGTGCATGCGTGCGTGTGTGCGCCTGCATGCCTGCTCATGCTGGTCCCAGGACTTGAGCTCCCTCATCGTCCCTCTTCCTTCACTCTTAGGAAAATGAGGTATTTACGAAGCCGCACTTTGGCTTTCACTCCCAGTATTTGTTTTCTTTGTTTTTTTGTTTTTTCTGTTGGTCCTGAGGCTTGAACTTGGCCTGAGCACTGTTTTTTGCTCACTCTGCAAGTTGAGGCACAGCTCCACTTCTGGCCTTTTGGTGGTTAATGGAGATAAGAGTCTCACAAACTTTCCTGCTTGAGCTGGCTTTGAACTGTGATCCTTAGCTCTCGGAGTAGTTAAGATGACAGGCGTGAGCTGCCGGTGTCTGGCTTAAACGTTTGTTCTTGACAGCGGTGTTTCAGAATGTGGGAAGAAAGTTCTTTCCCACATTGTCTTAAAGCATATTCGTCATGAGTCTGATGCTGTCTGAAGCGCAGATGCGGGATAACTGCACTTTCCGTCCATGCTGCAGACAGGCGTGCTGACTGTCTTGCACCTGTAATTCGGTGTGGTTAGTTGGTTTTGGTACAGCGTCTGCTGTACAGTGTGGCCCTGTTCTCTACTGGACACCGAGGCCAGCACTTGGGAGCAGCACCAGAACTGGGTGTGTCTGGCTCCCACAAGCTAGGTGAGGCGTGTGGCGTGCTTGGTGTGCACCAGCACTTGCCGTCCCTGCCTCCGTCATCTTGCTAAGAATGAAGTGATTGGCCAGTTCTCTGCTGTACTGCAGGTGTGGTCGGGCCTGGTGGCCCCAAGGTCCTACTCAGTGAGACTCTTCTCAGAGGCCCCATGTCTGTTTTCCCCAGGATTATGATGTGGATGAAGAGGACATGATAAACCAGGTCTTGCAGCGCTCCCTCGTGGATCAGTAGCAGGTCCTTGCCATCTGTCTCGTGTTGTAGAGCTTCCACTGCGTGCTGAGTGTAGACCTCTGAATCCTACCCCTTCCCTACGACACACCTGGGACAAGCCGGGCCGTGGGACAGGGCGTTGCTGGCGGGAAGGGGGTCCCCAGGCTGGAGCCCCTGTCCTCGGGGGCTCTTGCCAGGCTGTCTTCCCACAGTGAGCCCCCTTGTCACATGGCCTCATCTTACTGGTCCTCAGCTGCTTCCTGGAACTTGTGCCTCCTGTTCTGTAGAATAATCCAGCTTTTACCTCCACATGTTCTTGTTTCCCGTGTGTTCACCCGATGTTCATCTCTTAGGTCCTCTGAGCCAGCCAGGACCTTCTCTTGGTCGTGAATAGCACAACAAAACAAGTGTCCCCTGTCTCATCCCTGGGTGTGTGAACCCGGCCGTGGCACAGCACGGCAGACGGGCGGAACTTCCCAGGGGGGTCTTTGGGAGCAGCCAGAAAGCTTGTGAACAGCCCTCCGGGATGAGCATTTCTGGGTTTCTTGCAGTCTGATGCTGGAAGCTTTGATTAATTGGCCTGTGCTGCTGCTTTTTTTGCTGGTCCTGGGGCTTGAACTCTGGGCTTGGACGCTGGTCCTGAGTTTCTTTTTGCTCAAGGCTGGTGCTCTACCATTTGAGCCACAGCCCCACTGCGGGATTTTCCTGAGTAGTTTATTGGAGATAAGTCTCATGGACTTTCCTGCCTGGGCTGGCTTCAAACTGTGATCCTCAGACCTCAGTCTCCAGAATAGCTAGGATTACAGGTGTGAGCCACCAGTGCCCAGCTTTCCTGTGCTTTTTGCACACCCTTAGAATGTGCAGGTTCCATCTTAAATGTCTGCATGGCGCCTTTTTAGGTTAGGCTAGCAGAAGCATGTATGTGAGGGCCGGGTGCCAGGTCCGGCAGGTTGGAGTGCGCCGTCTCTGAGTGGGGAGGTGGTCAGGTGCCAGGTGAGGGAAGGGCACTCACATTCTTGTCCCCAAGCCTGCAGGGGGCCCTCTGATGGGGGACCGCTGTCTGCGCTGCCGGGCAGCACAGGGAAGAGCAGCTTTCCCCGGGAGCATGCTTCATTGCACTCCAGACGCCTGTACCGGCTTTAGTAAGTGCTGGTGTCGATCTTCAGGCAGGCGTAGATCCTGCACTGGACAGGGGGCAGCGGGTTGGGTTTGTTCTTGCATGTCTCACATCTCTAGGCTGAATATGGAAGGTGTGGCCCGTGGCTGGGGTTGGGAGTAGGAGCTGGCTGGGGCCAGGGCGGGGGGGGGGGGGGGCTGCTCTCCCTCTCACTAGGGGAGAGCCTGCTGCTCCTACACTTAGTACCAGAAAGATGGTGTCACTGTAATCTCTGGCGGGGCCTCCATCCGAGGGCCCAGAAGAGCACAGCTGCCTCCCCAGTGGTCCAGAAACTTCCTCCTTGTATAAGTGCACTTCATGTATTTCTAATAAGATGATTTTCCAGAAAGTGAAATTTGTTCTGGCCTTTAAAAGGTGAAGTATAAATAAATTTCATAATTTATCCAACTGGGAAGCTATAACGCGTGTTTTCATTAAATACCATTTGCTCAAGTTGGGGTCTGGCAGCCGGCTCCAGAGGTAGTTACTGAGTGGGAGTTCCCGTCTGTCCCACAGCCCAGCTTCTGGCCACCCCTCCCCCACCTCGGAGCCAGGCTGATGGCTGGGTCCGCCTCTCAAGGGTGGTGGCAGAGGACAGTGCTGCCGAGCTGCCTCCGCCGCCTGGCTGGGGCCAAATGGGCCAGGACTGAGCCTGGCACCTCCAGTCTCTGCCACACCCCTCCCTGGGGGCTTGAACTCAGGGCCTGGGTGCTGACCCGTAGCTCTTCAGCTCAAGGCCAGCCTCTGCCACTTGAGCCATAGCACCACGTCCGGTTTTCTGGTGGTTTATTGGAGATAAGAATCTCAGGGACAAGCCGGGCACTGGTGGCTCACTGGTGGCTCACGCCTGTAATCCTAGCTACTCAGGAGGCTGAGATCTGAGGATCGCGGTTCAAAGCCAGCCCAGGCAGGAGAGACCGTGAGACTCCTATCTCCAATAAACCACCAGAAAACCGGAAGTGGCGCTGTAGCTCAAGTGGTAGAGTGCTCGCCTTGAGCTGAAGAGCTGAGGGACAGCGCCCAGGCCCAGAGTTCAAGCCCCACGACTGACAAAAAAAAAAAAGAATCTCAGGGACTGGGTTGGGAAGGTGGCTCAGTGGTAGAGCGCTTGCCTTGCATGCATGAGGCCCTGGGTTCGATTCTTCAGCACCACATAAGCAAAAAGAAAAAAGCCAGAAGTGGTGCTGTGGCTCAAGTGGTAGAGCGTTAGCCTTGAGCTGAAGAGCTGAGGGACAGCGCCCAGGCCCAGAGTTCAGGCCCCACGACCGGACGCCAAAAAAAAAAAAAGAATCTCATGGACTTTCCTGCCAGGGCTGGCTTTGAACCACGATCCTCAGATCTCAGCCTCCTGAGTAGCTAGGATGACAGGCGTGAGCCAGCAGCGCCAGCCCCTCCTTCTTTGTATTCCAAACCTCAGTTAACTGTACCTCGCCAGTGTCTGTCACTGGGGTCCTGGACTCTGGTTACGAGTCCAAATGTTGCAATTTGTGCCTCTTGTACACATTAAGCGAAGCCCTCGCCGTGCGGAAGCATTCTAGGTCAGGAAGGGAAGAGCTGGGCTCAGGCTGGAGCCCGCAGCTCACACTGGAGGGCTCTCACCGAGGCGGCCATGGGGGTCTCCCAGAGCCAGGCGGGAGGCCGGGCGGAGGGGGTGCCTGGCAGAGGGGGTCCCCGCCTAGCCTCAGTGCCGTGTGCAGTGGGGTGTTAGCCGGCCAGTTGGGCCAGGTTTCCCCGGGAACACTGAAGCCAGCGCTAGTAAGAACAAGCCACCGAGCACGTTACCTGCAGTGGCAGAATTACCTGCCTTCACTGTGGCCAAACCTACACATTCCTTATTGGGAAAAGTGGCTGTTTTAGCGGGAGCCGTTCCCAGCACCCACCTATCTCTCTCCTTTGTCAGCCTAGCTGCTCAGAATTCTCAGATCCGAGGATCCTGGTTCAAAGCCAGCTGGGGCAGGAAAGTCCATGGGCCTCCTATCTCCAATTAATGAGCGAAAAGCCAGAAGTTCATGTGGTATAGAGACTTGAGTCAAAAAGCCAAGCAGGAGGGAGACAGGCCTTGAGTTCAACCCCCAGTGCCTGCAGCCCCCACTCCCCAAAGGAAAAATAACCTACGAGGAGAGGACTAAGAAGAAAGGAAAGCCTGGGCCTGGGAAGGTGGCTCTGTGGTAGAGCGCTCACCTAGCATGCATGAAGCCTGGGTTCAATTCCTCAGTACCACAGACAGAGAAAAAGCCAGAAGTGGTGCTGTGGCTCAAGTGGTAGAGTGCTAGCCTTGAGCACAAGCAGCTCAGGGACAGTGTGCAAGCCCTGAGTTCAAGTCCCAGAACTGGCAAAAAAATAGAAATGAAAGTGAAGCCCAGCCCCCAGCCTCAGAGATCGACCATCGCCATAAACCATTAAACCATACAATTCTTCTGGGTCACCATGTTTTTGGTTGAAACCTAACATTTCAAGCTGCTCTTCCAGTCTACTCCTTGCACCAGAAAACTCCTCAGCACCCACCAGCCTCTTGGCGAGTTAACATGCTCTCAGGCTCTGCGTGGTGCTTCCGGTAAGGACAGAGCAACTTTTGTTTCCAGTGAGTTTCCACAGCGCAGGGGTGAACGTTTTTATAAACACATCGCCAGTGCCTGACGGCTGCATCAGAGAAAGGTGAAGGAGAGCAAACCCCACAGATAGAGAGATGGGGGAGGGAGGGCGGGGAGGGGGCGGAACTTGGGGGGGGGGAATCCCTGGTCATGGGAATGGAGGCGTGAACTTGACTGTCCACTTTCAGGAACTCACAGGCCTGGCTGTAGGTGGGATGCCCTTCCTACAAGGGTCGTCATAGGAAGGAAGAGCTTTCTGGAAGGTTCTGGTTACTGCCTGTAGGTAACAGGTGACTGACTGGCTGGAGATTGTGCTGATAGCAGGTCAGAACTAGTTTCTGGGTAGGGGCCAGTGAAATCCCAATTTCAGGTAAAGTAATGTTCTATGCAACTTTATGCTAAAATCCTAGTGCTGCTCCTGGGAAATTCACATTTAACTGACCTCTTTATCTGGCACCCTATCTCCAAGATAAGTGAGAGGAAGCTGGTGAAGCTGGACCGCGTGACCGCAGGTGTGGCCTGCGCGCTCTGCTTCCCCCGTGGGAATGGATGACAGCAGCACCAAATGACATGGACCCCCAGTAGGCGAGACTCTACCTCAGCCTCTCTGCTGCGTCTCCTTACCCATGCTGAACGTGTTCATGCGTTCAATAAGAATAGGAAGGAGCCGGGCGCTGGTGGCTCACGCCTGTAATCCTAGCTACTCAGGAGGCTGAGATCTGAGGATCGCGGTTCAAAGCCAGCCCGGGCAGGAGAGACCGTGAGACTCCTATCTCCAATAAACCACCAGAAAACCGGAAGTGGCGCTGTAGCTCAAGTGGTAGAGCGCTCGCCTAGAGCTGAAGAGCTGAGGGACAGCGCCCAGGCCCAGAGTTCAAGCCCCACAACCGACAAAAAAAAAAAAAAAAAAGAATAGGAAGGAAGTGGTGCTGTGGCTCAGTGGTAGAGCACTAGCCTTGAGCTGAAGAGCTGAGGGACAGCGCCCAGGCCCAGGGCCCCATGACTGACCAAAAAAATAAAATCAAGAATAGGAAGAACAAGCTGGGAATGTGGCTTAGTGGTAGAGTGCCTGTTCAGCATGCATGAAGCCTGGCTTAGAGTCCTGAGTACCACATAAGCAGAAAGGAAGTGGCACTGTGGCTCAAGTGGTAAAGTGCTAGCCTTGAGCACAGAGAGGCTCAGAGACTGAGTTCAAGGCCCAGGACCGGCAAAAAAAAAAAAAAAAAAAAAGCAGCTCTAAAATAGGATAGCTTAGAGTTGTCTAAATCCCATTTCCATGAATCACTTGGCTTTCTCACAGCTGTTTGGTTCTCTACTATTTGAGCCATGCCTCGTCTCCCATTTGAATTTTTTGGTCAGTTTTAGGGCTTGAACTCAGGGCCTGGGGACTGTCTCAGGACTCTTTTTACTCAAGGCTAGTGCTCTACCATTTTGAGCCACAGCGGGCACTGACGGCTCACACCTGTAATCCTAGCTATTCAGGAGGCTGAGGTCTGAGGATCATGGTTTGAAGCCAGCCTGGGCAGGAAAGTCTGCGAGACTCTTACCTCCATTTAGCCAGAAACCAGAAGTGGCGCTGTGGCTCAAGTGATAGAGCACTCACCTTGAGCTGAAGAGCTCAGGGACAGCGCCCAGGCCCAGAGTTCAAGCCCTACAACTGACAGACACACAAAATGCTGTCAGGGTTAGGAAGAATGTGACTTAGTGGTAGAGTGCTTGCCTAGCATGCAGGAAGCCCTGGGTTTGATTCCAAGGTACCACATAAACAAAAAATAAAATGAATTTTAAAAAGAATAGACTTTAAAAAAATATCCTATCTCCAATAAACCACCAGAAAACCG